ATAGAAGACCGAGAAAGCGCGGCAAGCACTACGATGGACGACACCAAAGGCATCAGGATAGGATTCGAAATACATTTTACTACAACTATAGCCCACAATGTTACAGTTAGCTTCGGTGTTTACTATACTTGGTCATTCTCACATTGCTCTTTGTCCTGGTTGCCATCTAGGAACGTTTTCATTCATGTAAATTAACCCTTCGAATAACTAATGACACAAGAGTCGAACATTGAGGAAAAGCTCTCATAGTTTCGTTGCTTACGCTTCAACATCAGTTAGTATTAATTAGGCTGAACGTGTATTGATCACCTTCGGCAAATAATGTTTTTGGAGACCAGCAGTCATTTAACCTCGGTAGTGAAATAATCGGCATGTGTTTAAATTGTTGAGCTTATACGAGTTTGATAAAGATGTAATTCGGCTAACGTTTTGACGTCTTCGTCTTCATCAGAGCCTATTATCCGAGTCGATGGTCCACAGTTGTTCGTCTTCTAGATGTGGCATTTTCGTCTTCATATTAATTCTGATCTTCTTCAGTGGAACAATCTCTCGAATGAGGCAATCAGGCTTAATGAAAAATCAACAATTTAAACATATGTTGAATAATGCTTAACGTTTTGTTTTCTGCCTTCTATAATTTTCATGGCAGGTTACTAAGCGAAATACAACCGCAACGTTGCTGAGATATTTGCAAAACTCTGGACCGCAGGTGTTACTCCCCGGAAAGGACAATAGCGCGTTCGTTCCCCACCATAGACACCTGCGGTCCAGAGTTTTGCAAATATCTCAGCAACGATATGTTGAATATTTTAGCTCCGAGGATAAATGACGGTCTGTTTCAAAATTCTTGTTTTGCTATTCGATATGTACTAGCTATTCGCTGTGCACTATATGCTGCAAACCACTAACTACTCACCAATTTCTATTATAATGCTCAACACAATAGTACCCTCCCAACGGTTTACCGCCTCATCGTGGCTGGGAGGTGCTCCTGGGTGCCGGACTGCGATGTACAGTAGGAGGATTCATCTCCCCAGCAGGGTATCGCAAGCTGGGAAGTAGTCCGGCGTTTCCATCAGGAAGATTAACTTACAGTAAACCAATGCTAATACCAGGATCCACCACCGACCTGATATCAAGCTAGTCGCATGGTGGCTAATCATACTGTCATCCACAGGTACGGCGACTGCCTGTGGTGGTGACAACTTGGAGCAGACTTTAGCCTGGCTGACCTCGGGATTCCAAGAAACCAGAATGGCTAAACCAGTAAATCTCCAAAAAAATGGAGATTATGCTGGGGTCCGAATAACCATTGAGCACAGGCCATCCAAGTAGCCCAGTAGGTATGTGCTAGTTAACATAATACAGACTGCTGCAATGTGGATTATCCGTTGAAAGATAAATTATTATCAGCGGATAATCATACCAACAGCAAGCACCCTGTATAAAAGAGCATCGCTGAGCATGCCTCATTCAAGAGATGCTCTACTAAGGAAGATCGGTCTCGATACGAAGGCGAAGTCGCCACATCAAGAAAACGAACAACTATGGATCATCAACTTGGATCATCGCCTCTGATGAAGACGAAGAGGACGTTAGCCGAATAAACATCTTTATCAATGTCGTATAGACTTGACAATTTAAATATATTAATTTTTTTTTACAATTTTTACCAGAAATCACGTCTATTAAATCGAATTTTATTGGAACTTTCCTATGAAATATTACAAGTTATCCAATGCACTCAAACGAGCCAGTTTTAATGGCCGGCGCTCTTAATGTCGGTAAAGGCAAGATGAGATCAAGCAGTTATCGCTAGCACATGATGAAGGGTTTGATAGCCTGGTGTGTCATAGATTCCTCTCCGCAGTTGTCGGCTGCAGATTTTATCAACTAGAAGCTGCGGCAATGCACGATACTGTAAGGACTTTTGGGCTTTGATCAACAATAGAACCCTAAGAAAAAGAGTCCCACTCGTAACAGCACGGCTCTGAGGAACTCGAAATCGGCGAAACGCCATCCATCGACCAACAACACCAACAGCGGCAGCAATGACAACAACAACGATAACGAAAACCTATACCAACCTCGCATCGTCTCAGAAAGATCATTTCATAAGCACGTATAAATAAATATATCAACTAAGAAAGTTTTGTGTTTTCGAATGTCACTTTTTAGTAACCAATATATTGTTCTCAGTGTTTTTTTAAACGGGGATACGACGTTGTCAATAACAAGAATTACTCAGTAATGGCTGACGTTTCGGCGGTTTAGCCTTCTTTAGAGCTTGGAAAGATGGAATTCGTACGAATCTACTCAGTCAAGCACTTCCCTTATTATTGACAACCTCGTGTCTGCTCGATAAGAAAACTGAGTTGCTAAACAATGCCGAGGTTAACAGAAGGTTCATAGAAAAACATTTTGTTCATAGAAAACACTCTTCCCAATTTATCATTTTCTCAGTTCTTCGTAATCTGTTATTGAACAATTATGTAAGAGAATGTCTCAATCCAATTGTTAATTGCGGTCATATTTATGTGCAAGTGCAACACATTAAAACATAAGCAAAGAAAAATCTACACATCGATCATTACAAGAAGACTACCACTGTAAAAACTTTTCGGAAAAGTTGCTCCACATCTGAGCAATAGGTTACCAGAAATTTGCCACCATGCGAGCTTATATGCACTAGAGAGGATCACAGGAATGTCACTCGGATAGGAACGATAGAAGAATGGTTGCTAGGTGAACAACTTATCAGATATCGCGAAGCTGGTCGATATGAAAACATTGAGTGAACAATTTAGAACATAAAAACCAAGACAAGAATTATATATAAAGAAAAGAACATTCCCGACACGACGTTGTTTATAGCCAAATAGACGTGTCGCCACTCCATTGTTGCGTCAGGCTAAAATACTAAGATTCGCTTTCAACATATTTCCAGTAAATGTGCTTTTTTTCACCGATAGGCTAATGCGAAGCCGACAAAAAATCTAGTTGGCTAGCGCTTGGCGCTTTCGCCTTCTTTAGAACAGCATTGAACCAAGTCAATAGCCCATTGTTGTTACTCTTCCAATGTAGGTCTTCGTGATCGTATCTAGCCGAATCCGATGGAGCTCTAATGACATCGATCACTGCAGAATGGATTGTCTAGAAGAAAATAAGCGATTATCAGCGAATATAGTCAGTACCAACACCGTCCTGCAAAACAGACTACTGCCGAGTGATGTTACGTTGTTAAAGTGAAGCTCCATCAGCACCGACTCGATGCGATACGGAAAAGCCACATCGGAAGTAGGAACAACTGTGGACAATCTACTCGGATCAATCCTGGTCCGAAGAGGGTAAAGCCGCCGAAATGCTAGGCGAATAAAGTTTTATGGCAATCTCCTGTTAGATTATTAATGAAAAAATTCATGTTGGCTAGTGAACCGATGTCAAAGGAAAGTCGGTTTTGAAATATTTCCAATATTTGACATTGTAATTAGTGAAAGCATCTTTCTGGAATCTGCTATCGGTTTAATCAATATTTGTGAGCTGATTAGGGTCCAAATCATATATATATATATATATATATATATATATATATATATAT